AATATTTTCCGCTGCTGGCTGCATGGTAACGACACGACGGACGCGGCTCAGGACTGACGTGATCTCTGCCGCCCAGACGATTAGATCGTGGGTGAAAGCCGGATTGACGGATGATTATGACGGAATCGCCCTTCGAGAGGCAGGCATTAAGGCGCTTGAGGACGAGATATTGCTTCAAATTGAAGGTGGCATAGCATGAGGTGACCGACTTGTGGCTAGGTAGAAATGTTCAGCAGTCGTGAGCGTCCTGTTATCGGAACATCTTTCATCCGCTAAGCATGAACAATCTACGTGAATAGTATCTAAGTTGATAGAATAGCTCTCTATTCTATCAACTCTATCTCAGTCCAGCTGACTAATCCATCTATTCTATCTACTTCAAGGGTCGCGTGGGTAGAAGTGGATAGATGCAGAACCCTGTCACCATATCCCGAGCAGGGCGGAGCGGCGACAGAAGCCTGGCCCAAGAGATAAAAGCTGGCGCGTCTGGGTCTCAGTTGCTGAGCCCGGTGAGGAGCTTGGGACGCTGAGGCAGATGATCTATGATGTGACCAGTAAGTTCAGGTTGAGTTGTATTTGTCAGCCAGTGATGCTGACAGTTATCGCGGCAGCCATGGTGATGTTTGGCGGCCAGGAGTTGGAGGCGATGCTTCGTCCCTGGCTAGGCAAGGAGGTCCGGGATGCCAAGCTCGCTGACCTGCTGCGCTCTCGACACAAGAGCTTCATCATCGGCCAACTTGTTCAAGAAGCATCAGGTGAGTCCATGAGTCACCGGTCGGCCCGGAGATCAGGCAAGATGAAGTACAAGTTTACTGACCGCCGCATGTACTCTAGCTCAAAATAAGAAAACGCCCAAATCCAAGGGCCGACTTCGAGGTCAAATGGTTGCGGGCTCCAAGAGGCAGTCCGATACTCTGGGTGAGAGCGCTGCGGAGGGTACGGGCCCGTCGAAACGGAAGACATTGCGAGGACGGGTGCGGGCCCCACAGAGCTCGAAGTCGCTCTTTGAAGGATCTTAGGAAAGAAAGGTCCTTCAAGGGCCTCAATCATGCTGGTGCTGGCGTCAGCCGCAACTGTTTGTCACCTCCCCCTCCTCCTTCCAAAGACTACCTCGAAACCCAGCGCAGCCGCACCCCGGTTAGTCAGCCGAGACGAAGGAGCAGGACTAAAGGGCCTTGGCACGCTAATTACAGTACATCCAATTCGTCGACGTTCGGTCATCAACTCGTACAAGCCCTCTACTCGTTTCCCCTGTCTCACGCCACTAACTATTGCCTCTTGACTTGGGTTTCAGCAGATCGACTTGGAGGCTGCGTTCTCCAAGTGTTCAGCGTCCCATCTTTAGCAGCTAAAGCGGGATCTGCTGGCTGAGGCTGTGTGGTGTTAGTAGAGTTCCCCTACTGTAAATGATCCAATCTCCGTCCTTCCTCGTCAAGATCCAATCTCCCTGTCGCCGTTGCGTACTTGATCGTTGCCCGGACTGCTTTCATGTCTGGCGACCACATCTTTGAATCCGATGGTGCTTTCCCTCCCAGGTAGAATGAGAGGCTCCCTTGCCTTGCCACTGTGCATTGCAACATGTCTCCCCTCAAAGCTGCCAATCTCACGCAACGTAGCAGAAAATGTTCCACTGTTTCCCTCGCTCGGCCGCAGGGACAAAGGTCTGACTCCACCGCTCCGAATCTGCTTAGAAAGCCGTTCAGCCTCGCCATTCCGGTTCGGAGTTGTGCCAAGATGCGAGCCTCTCTTCGTTTTAACTTGTCGTAGAGATCGCGAGTGTGCTTGCCAGGTAGTGCCACGTCCAGAGTCTTTGAGAATTTGCCTACGCCTTCCGGTAGAACTCTCCCCTGTCGCTGTCTGGCCAATGCCAGTCTGGTTGCAGTGGACTTGGCTTAGGGCATTTGGAGGTTAGATATCTGCCCTTGCCTTGTTGTCCTTTACGCTGCCGCCTTGGCCTCTAATTCCAACGCAAAGTTGGCTTCCGCTGGAATCCACAGGAAGTTGACCGAGTTCCCTCTTTCTTGGTGCAGTCTAGCCAACTTGTAAATTTGCCGTATAGTGCCTTGGCCGGATTGTTGTCGCGGTTGCCTAATTGCTGCTAGCGCTGACTGGTTCCTGGTGACAATGGTGATGTGCCTATGGCGGACGCTGGCCGGAATCTTCTCCAGGGCCATTACGATGGCTGCTAGTTCTGCTGTATATGGGTTCTGCTCCTCCCTTATGCCAAGGGTTACAGCAAATCTTATTAGGGTCTCTAGTCCTGTTGAAGAGAGTTCTCGTGCGATACCACCAACACCGACAATGCCTTTCTTCACGGATGAGCTGGATGCAATCACTATGCCCATAGCTCCGTTGGCCATCTCGGTCGCCTTTTTTCGGTCAGCTTCAATCGTCGGCTGCAGGCGAGGTGCCCAGGGAGCGACGGCGTATTCCTGGATTGTTTCCATCTGTTCGGTTTTTATCCCTTTTACCTCACGGGCAATCTCCTGAAGCGGGAAGACGAATCGCGCTGTTGTCCGGATTTTCTTCCAAGCTAGGGGATGAGTCCCAGGCAATGTCTGAATGTTGATCCATAGTCTGGCTGCCGCCCGGGTATGTCGTTCTCGTATAGGGAGAATGCTCGCTTCGACTTCTGCTACAGCCGTAGCCATGGTCCGAAAGGCTCCTATGAATGCTAGGGCACCGATCTTCTGCGCTCTGTTTAGCCAGCTTAGCGCCTTTTCCCCACACGCGTGCATCCAGACGCCGGCCGTATAGTCCATGACGGGAGCCACTGTCGCTACAAAAAGTTGTCTTGCTGTTCGCGGGGAAAGCATCTTCAGCCTCCTTAGGGCTAGAGGCGGCTGTGAGACCTTTGGTTACCGTCTTGGTAATGTGCTGCTTATAGCGGAGTTCGCAGTCCATTGTTACCCCTAGGATCTTTGCGCTCTTCTTTGGTTTGATCGTGTCCCCTCCGACTATGAACGGCGTTTCGGAGGATCGCTCCTTGTTCCTTGTGAAGTGTACGATGGCCGTCTTTTCGCTCTCGAACTGGGCGCCGCTTCGTCTTTCCCAATCTAGGGCCCTGTCTATAATGGCTTGGATGCCTGAGCGGTTCGCCTCTGCTGTTGGGCCTACAACCCAGGCCGTATAGTCGTCAATAAAAGCAATTGAGCCTCCATTCGTATTGATTTTATGCTGTACCAGGTCTGCATTGCAGAAGAGGAACAATATCGGGGATAGCAGTGATCCTTGTGGCAAACGCGCTTGGGGCAACTCTTGCCGTTCAGACGTGAACCCGTTTACCACGATGGTTGCTGTGCGCCGAGAGTAAAAGGCATCAGTCCACCTAACCAGAGCCTCTGGTATACCTCTTGCCCTAAGCCTCTGGAGCAGTCTATCCTTGAGGACCCCATTATATGCACCCTTTACATCGAAGCTGATCAGGCTGAGCACTTTTCTGGCTCTCTATGCTTTATAGATTTGTTCTTGGAGCTGGAGGAGAGCCTGCTCAGTGGACCGTCTTTTCCTAGCTCCTGTCACGGGTCGTGACAGTGTGAGTGTGCGCAACTCCTGGTTCGACTTGACAGTTCGAACCACGGTCCCTCTTTTGAGGGTGTTACGCAGTGGTCAGTTGCGCCTGCCCGTGACAGCTTCAAAGTGGTTCGCAGGTAGCAAGCCAAATGTCTCTGCCGCGTAGGACAGGCGTTCCGCAACGACTGCCTCCAGTATCTTGCCAAGCGTGGAGAGTAGCGAGATAGGGCTCCAGGCTTTGGCCAGTGTATAGTTGCTTTTCCCAGGCTTCTTCAGTGGGATGATCTTGGCGTCCAGACTGCTCAAGCTCGCCCCAGCCGCCTACAATGTCACCTGATCGCCGATCTGATAGAGATCGACCTGGAACAAGCCGGGAAACTTACATAGCCTTGTCATATCCGTGGGGCAAGCCCAGTTGAAGTCACCCACTGTCGCTAGAAGGTTACCAGTTCGTCATTGGCCAAAATCTCGATGCTTCACTCCGTAGACTTCGCTTCGAGACCAGCACGACAACGGTATGGGCAGACGCGGTCTGCATTAACCAAGAGGACACGGACGAGAAATTACGCCAGCTCAAACTAATGGCCAAATCTATGCCGGCGCCGGCACAGTGCTTCTCTGGTTGGGCGAAACCACCCTTTACTCGGCTACAGGCTTTGAGATCTTCATACTTGGCGGGCCATGATACCTTTGATGAGAAGTCGCCTTGGGAGCGCATGCCGGATAACGAGACAATCCAAGGCCTTCAGGACATCTTGCAACGTTCGTATCCCAGTCGGATCTGGGTTGTCCAGGAAGCCGCGCTCAGCCGTCACATCAGGATGCAGGTCAGTGACCTATCGATGGAGTGGTAGGCAGCCGACGCGCAGTGCTGCCTTGCAAGAATCAAGCTTCTCGAAATTTCTCCGGCTTGGCAGGCATACCGCAGTCGTCTCAGAGAAATTGATTTCCGTCCTCGTTGGAAACTCCTGGAGCAGTCTGTCGCCGTCAACAATCAATGGTACAGACGGAATCAGCCTGCTACTTGGGAGTCCCGAGTTAAGTTCGGGCCACAACCAGAGTACACTGCTGGATGTTGTGCATGCAATGCGGCACAGGCATTCGTCTTATCAGAGAAACAAAAGCTATGGCATGATGGGCCTCGCACATCCAAGTGAAGTTGCGTTATTCATGCAGGATTACTCGACATCGTGGGAGGAGACATATCAGACGTTCTTTGGATTTTGTCTCGGAGCGAGTAATGGAAAGCGCACATGTAGCCCGGCGATTGGACTGGGGGCTTGTGAATACACTGGGGGAAGCAACCAGGGACTGGGAACCAATGTAGAATAAGACCGGAGGAGTGCCCGTGAAGCTGAGCGTTGAGCATTTCTGGTGCAGGCTGCGTCCTGAAACCCCGGACTGTGAGTCAGATTCGCCGCTGATACCGGGAATGATCCAATGTATAGAGCGATGCGGGTTGATGTTATCATGTTGGCAGTGGTGTGCAGTATTACGGATAGTTAGGGCGTTGATATGATCAGATGATGATCATGTTAGCTAGCTCCAAAGGTGTCACTCAAGTGATATACCGTTAGTAGTCATGCCATGCGTCATAGTCTGGGTACTTACCTCGCTTCTGTGCCTTGATTTCCCAGTACCGTTGCCTTCCATAGCCGCTAGTTGCCTTTACCGCAGGGGGGATCATGACAAGTACTTTCTGAGTCACGCCCGTCATCCCTGAGCCACGCCCGTCATCCGTGTCACGTCCTTCCCGGAGCCACAGTGCGTCATGAGTCTTGTATCAACACCCCTCCTAGGAGAACCTCCACGCTTCAATGCAAGATGTAAGCCAAACCTTCAGCCCTCACTCTCACTCAGCCATGCCCGCCTGCCCACCATCCTTCTTGAGCAGTCTCTTTCGGTTATACAGATCCGTATTCAACACATTCGTAAATCCCCTCGCGCGAAGCTCTTGCTGGATCTTACTCACCAACCACCCCTCCATCAACCATCCATCCACCTCAACCAGCATATACCCCGGCAACTTCCTCGCGCGAGGGTCACTCGTCGTGTCTGAGGGACCGTGATTGTGCACCTTGTGCTCCTCGTTAGGGTAGTGCAGCACCCACACGTCGCTGTCCCGAGCCGTCTCGACGACCTCAAACCGGAATGGACAGCCGCACTTTTTGCTCGCGCGGTCCGTCGTCGGCTTGCGCCGCCCCTGGGCTCGCGCCTGCAGCACCACCGACTCGTCCACGGGCTGCCGGTGGTGGATCCGCGCCTCGCCGCCCCGGAAACACACCCACCGCACCTTGCGCTTGCCCGTCACCTTGGCCCCCGCGATGCGCATGCTGTACCCGCGCGGCAGCGTCCACTGGTCTAGCTCCTCTTGCATGCTGGCGCGCGAGCTGATAGTGTAGCCTTCTGGGGGCGGCTCTAGGGGTGTGAAGGTGGTGGGGCTGTTGCTGGGGAGCACAGCGGGCTGGGAGGGTGGTTGATGTGGCTGAGAGAGCTGCTGGAGCTGGCGCTGCTGAGTTGGGTGAGCTGGTGGGAGCTGCCCCGCCTGGGGAGGTCTTGCCGCGGGGTTGGCGGGAGAGGTTGCCGAAGGACTGGGGACGGTTTGAGTTGGGCTGTTGAAGTTGGGGATTTTCAGGGTAGCCTCGATACGGCAGAGGCGGCGGTCAATAGAAACCAAAACATTGAGGATGTTAGTCAACTGGTTCTGTGGGAAACCGATATCCGCCATTGCTTCTCGCCCGCGGGCTGTGCCTAGTGGTGTGCGCGCGCACTGTGCGCTGGTTGAGCTCTTGAGCGGTCGATGTGGCAGCAGCTGTTGGTTTCAAAAGTCGCCGGCCGCGCGAACCTGACAGACGGTATTGAAGACTTGCACCAATTCACGTCTCGAAAGCGCACCTGCCCGACGGAGCTCAAGATATGGTTCGCGAATCCCGTCACGTGGTCTGCACGAATCAAGGGCAAGCTGCGGGAACAGGTGTGGAGTGCGCCCAAATGCGGGGTTTGCAGCCCAAACTTCTCGGCGCTTTCAGATTTTGCACTAGCAACTGTCAAGACAGTACGGAGTACGGACACACTTCCGCGGCCTCGGTGTCCCCAACCCCAACCCTCGGTTTCTCACGGTTTTGCTCCCAGTCTGCCCGCACCACGGCTAAAAAGCCGAGACCTTCTGATTGGGTGCATTGAGGGTGGATGGTGAACGGATATTGGAGCGTTCTGGTACACAGTAAGGGCCACACAGTTTGGGGAGACGGCGGCTACAAAGCCAAGAGGTCGTCAAAATCGAAATTCAAAGGTAGCCTTGACGACTAGTTGGATCGGGCGATTTTGGAGCCCCAACGAAGATGACCAGTCATTCGACTTGTCCTTTGTTTGTTCCAGCTCTCCCCCCTCTCCTTTGTCTCGTTCTCTCACACGTCCACCAGATCCTTTTCCCGTTTCCCCTGCATTGGCAACATCGAAAAGCCATCACTGCCGCCGCCCCAACCAAACCTCATCTCGGCTCCAGCTGCCACTCAAGGCCACCCAAGCATGCGCCTGCTAGTGGTGCTGGCCTGCCTCGCGGCCATGGTTGACGCTGCCGGCGTCCTGGAGATCGACCTGGTGTTTCCACGCAACGAGACATACGCCCCGCGGACATGGTTCCCAATCGTGTTCGCTCTCCGCAACGCCCATCTCGCGCAGCATCTCCTACTTCGCATCGGCTGGACGATACTGAACACAACCGGCCCGACCAGTGAGACGCTTGCAGGCCGCGACCATGACTTGAACTTGACGAGCGGGACCAGCTATGATGAGCCATACTTTGTCTATGACTGGCCAAACCTGAGATGGATGGGTGACGAGGGCCACTTGGAGCTGTTCTGGTGGGCACGCTGGATCAGCTGCGATTTGAGCGGCGAGGTGCCCGCTTTCCATGGCAACAGGACTGAGCGCTTGACGCTGGGCATCGAGTTCACCATCAAGAGCGGAGGGCAGGCGGTGGATCTCGTCGCCGCCACGGCAAACAACAACGAGGGGACGTGCGCACAATCAGGCGTCGCCATTAACGTCACCGACGAGACCCGATGGGTTCCCCACGATACCTCGGAACCGTGGGCCTATGCCAACGCGAATTGCGCCGTGCTGGCTTCCTCCAGCCCTACCCCGACCGCGAATCCTTGCCAGGTCGAGATCAACTCTGCTGTTGCCGAGAGCATATCGGCGTCCATGATATCCGATCTCTGCCCCTACAAAGCTGCCAATGACACCACCGTGGACTGCTCAAAAGACAATGCCGCTGACCGACTGGCCGTCGCGGGCGTGGCGTGTTTGGCGGCTGCGCTTGGAGCGCTTGGTTTCTTTTGGTTGTGATACCCAAGGACCTGTTGCCAGATGGCAGCGACACACCGTGGAGGGACGAGGACCAGGACAAGTTCTCCAACTACATGAGCAAGGTCGTCGACAGTTGGCGCGGCGTTACAGAGCGTGCCGTTGGGAGGCTCTTCTACGGCAAGAAGCTGGACGGCCAAACAAACCACAAGCTGACCGACGCCGAGCTCAACACGCTGTACAACCTCATCTCGGACGGCAAGCTGGTCAATGGCATGTGGCCCCAGGGCGTGGAGCGGCCGCAGCAGATCAACGCGACCGAGGAGCTGACCGCCAACATCAAAAAGACCTTCTTCGGCTTCGCCATTCCCGCCCTATGGCGCGTGTCGAGGAGCTACGCCTTTGTCCTGGACTCGGGCTTCGGCTGCGATGCCGACAAGCCGCTGGACAAGTACCTCCTGGACGCCACCATGGAGGCCACGGGCGCCTGCGTCGACGGCAGGCGGTACTACCTGGTCCACCCGGCCGGCCAGGCCTTCACATGTTTGGAGACGTGCTGGGACAACATGTTCTCAGCGCCGCCGGGAATCGAGCGGCTCGCCGACTTTGGAGACATCACCAAGGAAGACCTAATCCGCGGGTCGGTGCGCACGTGGATGGCCAACGGCAAGCGGAACGGCGGCGGGTTCCCCGACACGAGCGACCAGGGCACCGCCCACGCGCTGATGAGCGTCGACATCACGACGCCGGGCTTTGTGCGGCTGCCCGTGTGCAGCCCCGAGGTGGCCTTCCGGGGGTGGGAAAAGGGCGGCCACGCACCGACGGCCAACTACCCGTGCGACGCGCCGCTGGGCCGCAACTCCTGCGGCGACTCGTCGTTTGAGGACCAGACGAGCGCCGCGTCGCCCTCGGTCGACGACTGCCTCGGAATCATCCGCAACATCGAGGGCGATCCCGACACCAGCTGGAACGTCATCATCGGGCACGGCCACTCCACGATTGCTTCGGCCGGCGGCTGTGCGTTCGGCGTCGAGCCGACCTGGACCGGGGACAATCTCTACTTCAGCGTCGGCGGCCAGGACGTCATCGACCTCATCAACGACGCTGTCGGGAGGTTTGGCGGCAGTGGCAAGGTCGGGGCCAAGGGATACATGGACCGCCAGGGTACCTCGTTGCACAAGCCCTGGCACGGTGTCCTGTGGGGAATCTACTCAGTGTGACATTGCCTTCCCGATGATACATGTCCTTCTTTATTGTATTCTTAGAACATGGGCAGTACCTAGAGTGCCACTTGAACGCAAGAGGCAAACCCCAACGGGGCAGATTTGAAAGGTACTCAAGGTACCTAACTTTAGCAACAGCAGCCCACGCCCATTTGGCCATTGGCTCTTTGCCCTGAGGTTTGATGATTGGGTGTTCTTATCATGCAGTTGTGCGGGGGCCGCTCAGCCGCTGAGGGGGATAGTTCTCAGACTCGGCATCCAAAGCTGAGCTGTCAAACAATCCAACTCCAACTTGCTTTCCAAAGGTGCGGTAGGTGCCTCAAAAGCCCACTCTCAACCTCGCCTCGGCCTCGTTCGCGCTAACATGGAGATTGACAGCTTTCCAGTGAAGCGACTCACCCGAGCCCGACGTCCAAATCCGCGACGAGCGTTCAACGATGCGTCTCCTCAACGCGAAAACCCTTGAGCTGGCTCAGTTTGCGGGGGAGATTCCTCCTTACGCCATCCTGTCGCATACGTGGGGAGCGGAGGAAGTGAGCTTCTCAGACATCACGTCGCCCGAGCGAGACAAAAAGAAGGGATACGCCAAGATACTCGGATGCTGCCGCCAGGCCCTCATGGACACGCTCGAATGGGTCTGGGTCGACACTTGCTGCATCGACAAGACGTCGAGCGCCGAGCTCTCCGAGGCCATCAACTCAATGTTCGCCTGGTATCAAGGCGCGCAGGTCTGCTACGTGCATCTCGAAGACGTACTGGCCTCCCATCCGGGCTTCGTGTTCCCGGAACAAGAGTTCCGCGCCGCCCGCTGGTTCACCCGCGGCTGGTGTCTGCAGGAGCTCATCGCGCCAGCAACGCTCGAGTTTTACACGGCCGATTGGCACAACATTGGGTCCAAGTTCAGCCTCTGTGGGCTGATCGAGGAGATCGCGACCATCCCCGGACGGGCAGGACCCGAAGCCTTCCAGTTTGAGAGCAGGGAGATGTACCTGGCCATGGCGCCGAGCGCGGTTTTGCCCTTGTTTTCAGTTGTCCCCTCTTCTGCAGGAGAGGCTGCAGGCATCGATGTCGTGCTTTCATGTTCGAAAACCGCTGCTATCACGATAAGGGGGACCACCCCCTTGCTTCCTCTCCGGCTCATGTCCTCGGATGCAACGACTGATAAGCCTGTCACCCAAGGTTCTACACAGTTCTGGCGTGCCAAGGACTCGACTGGCTCCCTCCAGCTTCCAATATCGTTGACCTTGTTGTTCAGTCTTGATGGAAAAACCGGGGCCGCGGACTTCCCGTCGTCGCAACAAGCCGTCGAGGTTGACCTAGCCGTTGTTCGCCGTATTATGCATCCACTGCGATGGACATGCACCATCAAGGAGGACCATAGCCTGCAGGACAAGCGGATGGTCACTGACGTGCCCACCATTCTCAAACACCCCGTTGCGAGCGACAGGTCGGTTCTCACACTACGAAATGGAGACACGGCTGTCGCCGTCATCAAACACGTGTTGCCCAGCAAAACATCGAAACCATTTGTGGAGAAGAGTACCCGCCCGCCAACAACCTCCTAATGTCACGGGACGTGACAGTGGTTCATGTGCACGCTTGCGAGTTCGGTTGTCAGCCGAACATCGTCCTACCTTTTCAGGTATGGTTTGGCGGAGTGGTCAGGCGTGCCTACTCCCGTCATACCTAAAGATCGTGCCCTGGCTCTACCAGGGCATGGCAAAAGAGAGTGACGTGGGGTCAGCGATGATATTAAGGCCCTCGGTCTTTCTATCATTGGACTATCTTCTCGGGCGGGCGTCCCTCTGTCTTGGGGGACACACCTGCAATAAAAAGATGGTCTTGGAAGAACGTGAGAAGGGTCACCTTTTCATTGAGCTTCTTCAAGACTGTCCTGGTACGCCATGTATTGGTACATTTGGCACCTTCTGGTATATGGGAAATGCCCTTCTCAATGTCCTCCCCAACCCCCTGAAGGGCGATATCGCGCATCCCATTCTGGAGTTACTCCCCCCCCGTCAGTCGATCTGGACTCCGCTCTCTGAAGAATTTTGGCAGGCTCTACTCAACTCAACAGAGGACCACGAAGAGGTGCGAAAGGATTTTCGTCGTCGTGTGCTTGATAGGTTGGGCAAAGGTCAAAGTAGGGAAATCGATGAGAAAAGGGACTCGCAAGGTGATGGAACCATTGTCCGGTGCAGAGCTTTACCCGAGCCCCTCCCGCTCGTCGACCATCGAACCTCCCGCTCGTCGACCATCGAACCTCCCGCTCGTCGACCATCGAACCTCCCGCTCGTCGACCATCGAACCT